TATATGTAATATCAAAGCAATTACACTTGCGGTTTTCAACAAGAAGTCGAAAATATCACTTTTTACTAAAAATGACAAAAATATTCACCAAAATTAGAGAATTGAAGATATCATCACGAAATGAACAAATCTGAGAGAGGTCTACCCAAGGTACATATACACCAAGTATCAAAGCATTCAGGCTTGTAGTTTTCAAGAAGAAGTCGAAAAAGTAAAACATTGACACGGACGACGACGACGGACAATCACTCATATGATAAGCTCTGCTCGACAAAGTCGACAGCGGAGCTAAAAAAGTATTTATTTGTAGCGTTTTACTTGCAAGCGTAATTTGACCTAGTTTAGTAAACTTTTGTATGGCTTCATTTTTTGCCAATCGTCGAAACATTTTTTAAAAAAGTTCAAAAATTGTTGTCTACGATTTATCAAAATTCTAGTATTCTGTTTTGAAATAGTCGGGTAAATTTTATCGTGGCAATTTTTTTGATTTTAATAAAGTTTAGTGTCTTTTTAAAATTGCGACAATTTGTTTATTTTGGTGTTGATCGTGACGATATTTTTTAAATACAAGTATTGATTCGTCTATTTCTTATCTTTTAGGAACGCTGTGTCACATATGTGGAAAATTCAACTTAAAATCACCCGGAAATAGTTCTTTGGTATGGAATTCTATGCCATGTATAAATATTACGAAATATGCTATCGATAAACATACACACTCAGAGATGGCCTTGTCATTAGAAGTGGAAAGCAAACAAAATCACAGCGTTCTCAAAAACTGCAGACCACTGGGCTTCCATGAAAATCAGAAAAATCAACATTACATAGAAAGCACACAGGAGCTGATTTATTTAATCTTGTACATAAATTTGTTAAAAAATAAAGACACAATTTCATCCATGCAGGCCTGTCCTTATTGTTTTCTTTATCTCCAGACATATGCTAATGATTATGTAAATTATATGCAAATTAGCCACCACTCTGAGACATTTTTGTGGGGAGAACACTGTATACTATTACATGTACTTATTACTCCAAACTATAGAGGGCACTGTTTCAAACAGTTCTTTGTTGGATGTTAGATTAAAATTTAACAATAATCTGAATTATTTTTGCACAAGATAGATGTAATATTCTATTGGCTACAGATCTTCATCAAAACTTTAAAAAGAATATGAAAAAAATTAGTTGATATTGGTGAGTGAAAACATTTTGAAAAATCTAGGTTTATATCTCAGAAATAATCTCCATATGTATAAATCATAACTCCATGAATCTATACAAAACAATACAGAATCTTATTGCATTCATTACAACCTACATTGTATACTGTAAAATGCCTAATACGAGCAACAACTACATAAATTAAGAAGGAAATTTCTGCTACCGATTATCTCTGAAAACTAAATGCAGAATGTTTAAATGTCAGGTATTACGCCCATATGAAAAAAATAATACTAATTTATACAACAAAGTGCTATCACTATCAGAAAAAATAAATAAACGAACAAACCAACAAAAATAAGACTACTTTTTAATGTTTTTGATAGTAGACAAGAACATCACATTTGTATAAAACATTATTTAAGAATAAAACTTAGTTAAAATAGTTCTCTTTGAGGCCAGCAGCAAAGCTCAGTCACACAAGGCCATTACGATTTAGGCGTGTGTGACAAAACAGGATTTCAATGAAGGATTTACTATGCTGATATCTGACATGAAAAAAATAGTTTTTTGTGTTTTTGTGCGCTTTATGACATGTGACATGTGATTAAATTAGCCATTTTACAGTACTTCAAATATATTTGATTACGGTTGCCCTCTTTATTATTGAATATAGATTATAATTTAATAATCTCCCAGTGTACAAAAATTTAAACAACATACCTTGGTGTCATCGGAGTCTTTGAAAAGACTGATATTTTCTTGCTGACTGAACCTGCTGTTGATGCAACAGAACTGGCAGACGCTGTGCGATATGGGGTCATCCCATTACCTGGGGTAGTCAGTGGACCCAACATACTGCTTGGTGCTGAAAAAAAAAAGTACAAACAACGATTGAGCAATGTTTGTCGGCTCCATGCATGACATTACATTCAGTACTATTATTCTATACATTTACTATCCAGTGACAAAATGGTCCCAAAATTAATAGATATAGCACACATGGGAAAAAGCAATGTCAGGCACAGCAACAACTTTGTTTTGATTATATTAATGTTTACCATTTATAACTATTAAAATATTTGCTATTGATGGACTATCGGGTAGTCAAACAGTTGCCTGTCCGTCCATATAGATCAGTGAGATTAAATCATTGCTACAATTATGATCCAGATTTTGGTAAAAAAAAAAATGTTTTATAACAGAGGTTGACATTGGCTCTGAAAAATTTCAGTAATATGTAGGTGAATGCAAACCTGGGCTAGTAGATTTTGAAAAAAAAATTGTTTTGACTTACTTGGTTTGGATTCTGGAGTACAGTGTGTATTATGATTGTAGATTATACCATTCTCTGTGTCGACATCAATAAATGCATTCCAAAAGTCCTGTGGCATTGCTAATAAATGTTCCATAACCTAAACACAAAAAATACATATTTCAGTATTCATTGGATGAGAGTTACAGTTGGAAATAAATATCTGAAGAACTCTGGCAAAACTTGAAAGTATTCCCTCAATTCACACTGAAAAAAAGTGTTTGTTTTTTTATATAAATATTGTTTTTCGATTACTATTATAAGTATAAGTTTTGACACATTGTAACACTGTTGAATTGTATCTTTTCTTACATTCAGAATGATCTTACACTGCAGTTATTTCACTTACAGAAATTAAAACAATATTTAAAACCACTGAAGGGTTGTCATACAGTTTCTGAAGCAAAATATGTTGACATCTTTTTTCAACATACAAAAGTCACACAAGTGACCCAAAGCACTTTTTTCATGCCAGTTGCTATTTGTTTTAGACACTTTTCATTATATACAACAAGTACAGTGAATAGAACAAAAAGCATGTTCCTGCGCATATATGCAATGCATTATGGGAGTAAATTTCCAATCGTCACCCTGAAAACTTGATGAATTATATATCAATTAATTGAAATGTTTTAACAATACTATGATTAATATCAATAATACGACTCCATCCCATGTCACTGAACACAATTTTGAAATGTGTAATCAGTTTTTCCTATAGAAACCAGTGTAAAATGTATGACAGTCTTCTTCAAGTTCAACCATCTGGGAAGGATACAACCTTCAGTTACCAAAAGGGCGCACTTGGGTTATTACAGGGAGATGCTTGTAATAGTTCTTACAGTTTCTTAACCATGAATATAACTCCACTGCATAGGCAAGAAACATAAAGTTAATGAACTCAATTTAGTACTTACCTTTGCTTGTTTCTTGGCGTCTTCCAACATTTGCATCGGTGTAGGCTCAGGATTATCATGTCCTATAAGGGTGGGCCCAAACACCTTGGCCAAGTTAGTGGCAGGCATTTTGCATACTTTGCTCTCTGAAACTCTTTGCAGATGAAGTATAATATAAGCCAGTGTGTCTCTGTTTGATTGCGGCAGCTCACTCACAGCTTGATAGATGGCTGTTTGAGCATCACTATCATCACAGTATTCTATAAATTAGAATTGACATAGATACATTCAGAATCACTTGCATGAATATTCCATGAAGGTCTATTATCATTGCTGGATGAATGTAAACTAATGGAGTACAGGAGTCTAAAGGTCCTCAAGTCAAAATTATAGAGACGTGCATCTTTATAATTTTTTTATAAGGACATGTGCTGCTCTACCAGGAATAATCTGAGGGCAGACATACAAGATGTGCCCTCAATACATATCCAAACTAACGTACTAGTGCAATATATGTAAAGTAGTCTTGATACTTACGCCCAGCTTTCACAAAATCAGCGTGTAATTTGTAAGTTACTATAGGCTCTGAAAGACTGCGCAGGAAATCTTTTAGAACGCCACAAACAACATGGATGTCATTTACACGATACTGTGGACAAAAACAAAAAAAGTTTGTGAGATTACAAAAACTTCAGTATTTACGACATTCAGTAACACAAACCCAGACCCAGGTGGCAAACTATATGAACTAAGGTTCTATTAAGTATTTACTATAATTAGATCTTCAATAGAAGCACATGTAAACTAACAGTTGCATGTATCATATACTGGATCATTAAAATACAACTTATTTTAAGCATAGACACACCTATCACGGTTTGCATGCCAGATAAATAGTAACATAATGGTTGCAGCCAGTGTACAGTACTGCTACAGAACCAACTCATTTTTAAACTCACCAGATTTGGATTTCCCTTTCCTTTAAGCATCTTTTCTTTCAGTTCTTTAACTTGACCTCCAGCCCCTGAAACTCTGTAAATGCCTTGCTCAGACAGACCTCTCGATTCCACTTCGGTACAGCAGTGAATCTATTTGGTTAAAAAATAATTAAACAAGTTGTATTATCTGTTAAATTATTTGAAAGAATTTACCATGTGTGATATAATGAGCTATGAACTAAAATCACAGTATTCACTAGTTACATGTATGTGTCAGAACAAGATAAATTTGTTATCTCAACAAACTAAAATCTTGCCATACAATGCAACTTCAGAACACATTCAACAATTAACCAAGAGAAGTATGAAATATTCAGTTTTGACATTTTGCTTGAACATGGTGACAGAAGGTAGAAGGAAAGGAACAGAAAAACATCGGAAAAAGGTATTTATTGCTAACGAATCACCACACTAAAATCTGATAAAAACATCGCTCGCTTATGCTGTTAGATACATGTGTTAACTATGAAGGGTGCATTCTAATCATCAGTCGAAACACTGATGCATACGATTCTGTGGACTTGACGCTGATAACTCCACAAACAAACCGCCATTTTCTGGTATTTGCAAAACACATCTGAATCCAATATGTAGTAAATACTAACAACATACTAGTATGTCACATACTCCATGGTACATCAAAGGCAAAAAAAAAAATACCATACTTTACATTGATTGGTGATGTGCTTGTAATAAGGCAAATACAGTACATCAGAAAGTACAATTTAAAATTAGAGTAGTGAAACAATGACTGGCACTATAAATCTGGAGATGAGTATGTTTACATATATGAACAGTTACATTTAATATTCACTTAGTTACTGCGCAAAAACAAATGATTTTTATTCAAAGAGTTTTTATGGGGAGGGTTATAAATAAAATATAAAAGGATCTTGTACAGCAGCAGGGATATGTAAAGTACAACTACACACACATGTTATTGTATCTGGAGACCCAAATAAAGGAATTACTAGAAAGCTTTATTAGAATGAACCAGTCGTCTTACCACTAAAGCAGGTACCATAGGACTTGTATTCGGTGTATATTGCTCTAATGACATGGGACCATGTTTCTTTGGACCTGTACCAGGTGTTTTCATCGTTGGTACACATGGCAATGGAACAAGTTCTTTACAATCAGGATGACAAACAGCTCGGCAATCAGTGCATTTTAAAGCAATTTTTCCAAATCCTATTCTTTTTTGGCACTGAGAAGAGAACAGAATATGAGAAATGAAAACCACATACATGACCTCCACATGCTTCTTTGCTGATTAGTTTTGTGCACGTGATTTTAAAACACAGATAACACATGTTATAAATGCATGCTGTCTGTGTTTTGGAATGAGGCACATGAAACCATCCAGCAATTAATGAGGCAATTAACGGCACAATAGAAATATTCAAAGATGCTGAGCCCATATTGAAGAAATTACTCAATTAAAATGGTTTCCTTTCAGTAAATTATTTACTCTCTCTATACATGACAGCATGTTGATTGCATATGTATTAATTTTACAAAATCAGCCATCTAGTCAATTTAGGTGAGGGTTTTCCGAACCCGCCTATTCACATAGTTCATACCCACCATAGACTCCGGTCAGTCAAAATGACTATTGTGAACTGTAGGCATTAATCAGTGATTCTGCCGGTGACGGAGAGATAGAATCTATGTCAGGGGAAGCCCATGACCTCAAGATTCTTTTACCCCTTACGTCACGAACCCACGTGACCAAGGCCACATGGCAACGCCATAGGTAGCCGTCCATCACTCTGGTTCCTTTCTCTCCGCCTCGAGGACTTTGACCAACGCGACGGAAAGAGTGGGGAGGTTGGGGGGACCCGGAG